TTAATCTATCCCTCCTCCCTTTCACCCAGCAATCATAATGTTTAATTTTTATAATAAAGGGATATTGAATTTTATCAAACACATAACTTTTATCCTTTATTTTATTAATGTGATGTATCACATTTATTAATTCACATATATGTTGAACCATTCTTGCATGGGAAGCATTTCAGAAATACCTTTTTCGGGCTTAGCAACAAGTTTTCAAATGGACATAGCTACTAGCATGTAAAATAAGCTACTGGCATGTAAAATTAGGCCAAAATAATATTGTGAATGGGTTCTTCCCTGGTAGCTCAGCTGGTAAAGAATCCGCCTGCAATTCAGGAGATGCCGGTTCAATTCCTGGGTCAGGAAGATCCGCTGGAGAAGGTGTGGGTTACCCACTCCAGTATTCTTGGACTTCCCTGGTGGCTTAGCCAGCTGGTAAAGAATCCCCCTGCAATGCGGGAGACCTGGGTTCGATCCCTGGGTTGGGAAGATCCCCTGGAGAACAAAACAGCTACCCACTCCAGTATTCTGGCTTGGAGAATTCCATTAACTATTCCATGGGGTTGCAAAGAATTGGACATGACTGAATGGCTTTCACTTTCAATATTGTGAATAGTTACTACTCTAATAGACATCAAATGTATAGACCATTTCCACTATCCCAGAAAGTTCTTTTGGATACTGCTGTTTCGTATTATTTTATGTAATGAGAGATTGAATATCATTACAGTAAAAGTTTTAAGAATCACTGTTTGCTAATTACATACAATTTCAGAAGGCCTAGAGTCTTGGAAAGATTGGGTGAACAGTGAAGTGAACAGTACACCATGCTCTTTAAGAAACACTAATCTAATTAACAGTGAGCACTAACCAGTTTTTTTTTTTTTAAATCCTAGCTCTGCTTTGTGTTGTATGAATTTGGGAAACCTAAAGAGATTCTGTAAGCTCTTACAAAACATTAAAAGCAAACAAGAAACAGCTAATGTGTGTTCACTGTAAATTTTACAGTGTAAAAAATTAGAAAAACCATTTTTTAAAAAGAAAAATCGTATTTGTAAAACATGGACTCGCTATCATCCATTTAAATTCTTTTTGTAACATGATATAATTCATTATATCATGTTACTTCTCTAATTTGATCCACTTTATTTTTTTTTTTTATTTTTTTTTTGATCCACTTTATATTGAGCCACTTCTCTCTTAGACTCATAACTTTGTTTGACTGAAGTATTAGATCATCAGTAAAAAAAAAAAAGACCTAAACTTGAGTTTTGTGTTTTTATTTAATTTTAGATTCCCCAAATGTGTTTGTTATAAACAGTAAGGATTTCCCTCGGTGGTTCAACGATAAAGAATCTGCCTGCAGTGCAGGAGACTCAGGTTCCATCCCTGGGTCAGGAAAAAAATCCCCTGGAGGAGGGCATGGCAACCCACTCCAGTATTCTTGTCTGGAGAATCCCATGGCCAGAGGTGCCCGGTGGGCTACAGTCCACGGGATTGCAAAAGGTCAGACACAACCAAAGAGACTTAGCATGCATGCACATAAACAGTAAATACATACTTGAAATTTATCACCAAATATGAAACATCTTAGAGGATACAAGTTTACTAGGATAGAAAATTTGAAAAGTTAAGAAAACTTTGAAGTGAAATAGAATTGGATACGAAGGGAGAGTGTGTCAAGAATAATTTCATTTGGTACAGAGATCAAATACCATAAAAACGTCTTTTCTGAAATAGGATTTTTATAAATCAAACATTTTTTTGGCTTTCCGATAATTTCATTATACAGATTCTTGGCAGAAGAGAATAATCAATACGCTAGAGGAGTTACTTCTGTTGGGATTTTATCTTTGTTTTCTTAAGTAAAGTTTACTGATTATAAATTTCTTACATATAATTTCCATCTGTATGGAACTGGCAACAAGTATAGGAAAGTTCATTTAAGAAGAGTTTTGTGCTGTTACCTCTGGTGAGATGACAGTTTCTTTGCTGTCTCCTGCTGTGTGCCTTTCTTCTGCTGCTTGGTATCTGATCAGGGCATAGAAACACGGCATAGCAGACTTACTTTGAGGTCCAAGATTCTGAAGGCAGAGGAAATTAAAAGTGTGGCTGCATGTTTCATAATACGACTTTTGGCTCCTATATTAAAGTTATCCAAGATAGTTTATAACCAGCTTATTACTTTATATTTAACCAAACATTTCCCTCATTTCCATAAATAGTTAATAAACTCATTGATGATTTTAATGATCGATGTGTATGAGTATTTAACCATAACCAAGTGTTAAAGTGTTTTCTAAACCAATATCCCCTTTTACCTGAAATAATGTTACATAAAAACTTTATGAATAGAGTTTGAAACACTAGCTCAGCACTGAACAGTAATTGGCCCTCTGTACATTTTGAAATGTTTCTGAGAGAATGAGGGAGAGGTTGAATTTGTATTTGAGTTTATCCTAAATCTAACCATTATTTGTCTTCATACTAGAATTGTAAAATGTATTGCATAATATATATTATATATTATGTAATACATGAATGCCAGATATAAACAAAACTTTCCAGTTCTTCTCTTTCTCTTCCCATTTTGATTATAGGTTCTTAGGAGTTTCTTTGCTTTATTTACCGAATCCCAATATTTTGATTTCAGTAAGAACTGTCTCTCATCAGTTCAGTTCAGTTGCTCAGTCATGTCTGACTCTTTGCGACTACATGAACGGCAGGCAGCATGCCAGGCCTCCCTGTCCATCACCAACTCCTGGAGTCCACCCAAACCCATGTCCATTGAGTCAGTGATGCCATCCAACCATCTCATCCTCTGTCATCCCCTTCTCCTCCTGCCCTCAATCTTTCCCAGCATCAGGGTCTTTTCAGATGAGTCAGTTCTTCACATCAGGAGGCCAAAGTATTGGAGTTTCAGCTTCAGCATCAGTCCTTCCAATGAATATTCAGGACTGATTTCCTTTAGGATGGACTGGTTGGATCCTCTTGCAGTCCAAGGGACTCTAAGAGTCTTCTCCAACACTACAGTTCAAAAGCATCAGTTTTTCTGCACTCAGCTTTCTTTTAGTCCAGCTCTCACATCCATACATGACCACTGGAAAAACCATAGCCTTGACTAGACAGATCTTTGCTGACAAAGTAATGTCTCTGCTTTTTAATATGCTGTGTAGGTTGGCCATAACTGTCCTTCCAAGGAGTAAGCGTCTTTTAATCTCATGGCTGCAATCACCATCTGCAGTGATTTTGGAGCCCCCCAAAATAAAGTGAGCCACTGTTTCTACTGTTCCCCATCTAGTTGCCATGAAGTGATGGGACCAGATGCCATGATCTTAGTTTTCTGAATGTTGAGCTTTAATAGTAGTGTGTTAATGTGTTGAATGTGACTTTACCTACTTCAGAATCAAAAGGTCTGGTTTTAAGACCTGGCATGCAGTTAGGTTCTAGAAGATGACAGAATCCAACTCAGATGATTCAGGAGGAGTACAGGGATAGGGATGGAGTAAGAAAACTGACAAAGGATGTGTTTTCGCTGGTTACAGAGGGAAGCTTGAAAGGACAAGGAAAGCTTAGTGTCATTAGAGCCTACTGAGAGCTGTGGAGAAGTGGGTACCTGACGGGAGCCATGGGTGATAAAGGGACACGGCGTCTGTCACAAAATATGACCAGGAGGAAGGAGGGAATTGGAAGGAAATAGTCCAGCTTTTCTCTGTCAGGGATGGACAGTACTGGAACCGAGGAGATGCTGTTCAGGTCTGCTTCCTTTTGGGCACAGAGTAGGGCAGAAGAATATTGGAGGGACGGGGTAATGGCAGTAAGGTAATAACCAGGACAGCTACTAATAAGAGTGGGACTGACTTAAGGTAATATTTTAGATTCAATTTCTTATCTCTAAACTGCAGATACTTTACTGGGGTTGATGTGGTCATTAAGTGAGCCATATCAAAGTACTCCAATAGTGCCTTGGTCGTGTATTTCTTAGAAGTTTTGATAAGGTGTGGATTTGAAAAGCTCAGCTTTATTTCTCTTGGTGCTGTGCTGCATTTGTTTCATAAGAATTTTGATTGCCACCATACTTTTGAATGTATATGTGTTTCCCAGTGATTTTGGGGGCTTCCCTGTTAGCTCAGTTGTAAAGAATCCACCTGCAATGCAGGAGACCCCCTGGTACTATTCCTGGGTTGGGAAGATCTGCTGGAGAAGGGATAGGCTACCCACTCCAGTATTCTTGGGCGTCACTGTGGTTCAGTTGGTAAAGAATCCGCCTGCAATGTGGAAGACCTGGGTTTGATCCCTGGGTTGGGAAGAACCCCTGGAGAAGGGAAAGGCTACCTACTCCAGTAATCTGGCTTGGAGAATTCCATGGACTGTATAGTCCATGGTATAGCAAAGAGTTGGACACGACTGAGCGACTTTCTCTTTACTTCAGTGATTTTTGAGAAGTGAACAGTCAATTGTTCAGTAGTTCCCAGAATTTAGACTTTTTTAATTTACTGCCAAATGAGAGGTTTCACTCTTCATTCTTGGTGTAGACAGAGCACTGCTTGCTTCTGAACTTATGGATGAAGTGCTTTTAAGATGCAGAAATTATCTCCCTGGTAAAAGATTGGTCAGACTTCACTCTCCCACGTCTAACCATTGATGTATCCTTAGTGACTGCTTCTATTTTCTTGAGACAGCAGTGATTTTATTTTCATATTTTTTTCCTCCTAATTCTTACTATATTTCTTCTCACAGAGATGTGCTTTCTTCTATCTTTACCTTTGAGCGTTCGTAGGCCAGACCAGAATCAAGCATTCACTCTGTTTTCAGGAAATGTATAGCTACTAGATGATATTTTACTTAAAAACACTTTTTGTTTTTTTAAAAATTCTCTCACAAAAACTATATTGTGATTTTGAAATTAAATACTTTCTATTTAACTTACAGGCTCAAGTTAGCAGTTTTGTACATTGCAAATTGAACTTTTCTGAATTACTGACTAAATCTTAATTATTTTCCACCAGACGGTCTGCCAAATCACGAAGCAGAAGCCCATATTCATCTAGGCATTCAAGATCTCGTAGCAGGCATAGATTGTCTAGATCCAGAAGTCGTCATTCTAGCATTTCTCCTAGCACCCTAACTCTGAAGAGTAGCCTGGCAGCTGAATTGAACAAGAATAAAAAAGCACGAGCTGCAGAGGCAGCGCGAGCTGCAGAGGCCGCTAAGGCCGCAGAGGCAGCTAAGGCTGCTGAGGCTGCTGCCAAAGCTGCCAAAGCTACCAGCACTGCCACACCTACCAAGGGGAACCCAGAAGCTGGTGCCAGCGCATCGCAAACCAACCATGTGAAGGATGTGAAGAAACTGAAAATCGAGCATGCACCTTCTCCCTCAAGCGGTGGAACTTTAAAAAATGACAAGGCAAAAACAAAGCCACCTCTTCAGGTAACAAAAGTGGAAAATAATTTGATTGTAGATAAAGCCACCAAGAAAGCAGCTGTAGTTGGAAAGGAGAGTAAATCTGCTGCTACAAAGGAGGAACCAGTATCTCTTAAAGAGAAAACGAAACCACTTACACCAAGCATAGGAGCCAAGGAGAAGGAGCAACATGTGGCTTTAGTGACCTCTACCTTACCACCTTTACCTTTGCCTCCCATGCTGCCTGAAGATAAGGATGCCGATAGGTGAGTGCAGAAAATTTTGTTGTGACTGGTTAAAGAAAAGGAAATCTCAGTTTGAAATGAGAGATTATTTGGCCCTCTCCCCCAAAAACCTTTATGAAAGACTGTTTAGTAAGTGAATTAATTTTTTTTATGGTATACAACTTAAAATGAAGCACACTGCTTGTAGGATGAAAAAATTATAGCTTATGCTAAGAATTCCAGGTAAAAATTGCCATTGTCATGGGATATAATGTGTTTCAGTTTGAGTTTGGAATTTAGAAATGTCAGTATTTTCTTTGGCTGAATATTCTTTGATGTTATCAGAGACAGGACATTTTATAATAGAATCTGTCCTGGATGATAATATCATATTATCTTGCTTTTTTCTAAGTGTTTTCACTGACCTTATAAATTTATCACTTTAGGTCTCTTTATGAATACATCTTTTTTTAGTTTTTTATTGACTTAATTTTTTGCAACTAGAGATTAATTACATGTTACAGAAACTTCATAATGTGTTAGTGCTTTCCTTTAAATTATTTATCAATTTCTGCTGTTGGGGTTATAGCTAGTACTTTATTTTGAAACATTTTAAAGAGGATGAAGGTAAGAATGACTAAGTATAAAGGCAGTTCTAATAAGAATGTTTCTCAAATTGTTCTTGGATGGAAACTTTATGCTGTGTGTGATTTGCCTATTGACTTGACCTTTTTCATTTTTATTTTTATGAAGAAATTATAACTCCCTCGCCCCTTTTTGTTAAAAAACAACTATATGGGCAATTTTTCTAGCTGGCATCTTTAGGGAATTTGAAAACAAGTTGATAAAAATGCCATGTGGGCAGGTCTTCCAAGCCCTCACTTTGGCTAGCTTTATGAAAATTTTGTAATTTAAACAAAAATAAATTATAATTTCATGCCCTCTGAAGTATCTTTTCTCTTGTGTATTTTCAGTACAATCAGAAATGTTGCTGAAGGGACCCCATCCAATTTAATCAGGTGTTATCTAGTTATATTATTTTAATTGTGATTGATATTTGCAGGTTTGACTGTTTTTGTTAGGAACACTGAAGGGACATAACAGTAGTGATTTATAGTTTTGATGAGTCTTGGAATAGGTTGTTCAGCACAGAGAGGCATGAGTGCAGAACTGAGTCACTTTATCAGTAAGAGTATAAGCCTGTTGCTTGTTGCTGAGAATCTAGTGATTCTGGACCAGTGAGACTAGTTATTCTCTACTTTACTCTTCATATGTGCTGTAGGGGTAAATTTTACTGGTAAGGCTTCAGGATATGTGCCCAGATGGTGACTGCTTATTAAGAAGGGTATTCTTTGTGCCTCTGTTTTTAATAAGATGGTGGCACATTCCATACTTCGTCATTGAAATTTTTTTGACTCACCTTCTTTGCTGTCGTCTTTTTTTATTGTGTCTCTGCTCGTTTTTGCTGTGAATGTTTTTGTATGTTTCAGGGATATAGAAATTTTTTAAGACTCTTGAGTACTACTGTTGACATACATGGCCAAAGATTGATTTAACACTAGTTAACAGCCACTCTTCTTTTTGATGTTCCAAATTTGATTGTCTGAAATTTGGCCAGTGGGCTCCTTTAAGCCAACTCCTTTGTCCGTTTGATATGACCCCTTTTATTTTGGAGTGCATTCTTGCTTCCCATCCAAACAGTCTTTTAGACTCACTTTGAACTTTGCTTCTCTCCCAGCCCTGGAATCTATTTCTCTCTGAAGATCATAAGATAGACTGTTAACTATACTTTTACATCTAATCATCTTTTTAAAAAAATGAGGATCATACCATTTATAGTATTCTTCCTCTCTTCTTTTAAAAGTTAATGTATTGGAGATCTTTCCATGTTGGCAGAGATAGATTCAGTAATCCTACACATGGAAGTGGATGCATTACTTTCTTATTAATTTTTCTGCTGTTGATTAATGGATATTTAAATTCATAATTGTTTGCTGTTAAATGCTCCTTATACATTAATACTTTATGTACACGTGGAACAATTTATATTGGATAGTTATGTGGTCAAACATCCACATTTAAAAATTTGATAGAAACTGCCAAATTGTGTCTTAATAGGATTGTGTGTCAATTTATGTAGCCAAATGTATAAAATTGCTTCAGTATCACTAAATATTGCCAATTTTGAAATATTGAAAATCTTTAAAATATGTGATTAATTTTGTATTTTTCTGATTATTGAGATATAGCATCTTTCTGAACATTTGTTGGCTATTTATTTTTTCCAGTGAATTGCTTGTTCAGGTCTTCTGCTGACTTTTCCTTAAGATTATTATTATTTTTTAGATTGATTTATAGGTACCCCTTATGTTAGAATCTTCATCTGTGCCTGTCAGAGTGTGTTGCTTGTCTTTGAGACTTAACTTGTTTTGGCTGTGTGAATGTTTTCCATTTTGAATGTATTTGGATCTGTCATTTTTCCATTAAAACTTACGGTTTAAAGAGTTTTTAAAGGTTGATTCACATCTCACAGAAATTTGTTTTTGTTTATTATATGTAGAAGAAAGACATGGTCTGCTTATCCACTCTCATCCACCACCTTGTGGACTAATAGATCAGTTGCTGCTACCATCATCTATTGAATACTCTCTCTCACTGACTTCTGGTGTTATATATAAAAATTAGATGCAGGCAGGTAATGTAAAAGTGAAGGGATGGAGTAAGTAAATAACTGCTTAGTGAACAACCCAACCCTTCAGCCTCGACTTCAATGCTGCTGTGAATGAATTTGGGCCCAGTGTTGGCATTTTTTCCTTTATTATTAGATAAATTTTAAATCATTTGGTTTCTCTTGCTTGATTTTTTGTTTGGGACTTGATTAAATGCAGTGATAAATTTGGAGACTGACAGCTGTACAGAATTAGAACTTCCCATATGAAAACATCGTTTCTTTTGTTTCATTCTTGTCTAGTTTTATGTTTATCAATCATGTTTTAATTTTCTTCTCTTGATCTTATGCATTTCTTGTTAAGGCATTTTATTGTTTTTTGTTACTGTAGTATATGGAAACAAAAAATAATTACATATCCTATTTGGTTATTGCAAGTATTCAGTGTGAATATATTTTAAATTATATAGTGTTATTCTTGGGAAGTGATATTTCATTTCTCTTAAGTCTCGGAGCCTTGTTGAATTTAATAGTTCATATAATGATGTATTTGAATATAGGCAGTCTTTTACATGCTAAATTGTAAGTAAAATAAGACTTCTACTCTGCTCCCCCCATGTTGAATTGTTTTTGTACAAGCAAAGTTTTGACTAAAGTCTAATTATGAGTTAGAGACTACAGTTTTCTAAATAAATTATTTTAAATAGATTTATTTTCAGACAGTTCAAGTGGTACCTTTTCTAGAAAAAAGCTTTTGCTGTCTTTCAGTCTTGAGTTGGCTACCCTTTAGTACCATATTACTCTGGAAATTAGTGTGTTTAGTACTGTATCCTGCTGCTTACTGATGTCTTCCAAAGGACTGAAAATTTCTTTCTGAGAAGAACTGAATCTTAATGTTTTTGTGAATTTTTTCTGTTGTTAAACTATAGTGTTTTATGTAGCATCTACCACATGAACGTGGACGGTGAATATTTGTTAAATGGTGGGACATTAAAATAGAAAAGTAGGTTGCACGACACCATTACTATAGAAATAAAACTGCAATCCAGTTTCCTTTTGAGCTTGTTTTCCCTATTAGAGGTTACCTTCTAGTAAGTAACTTGGGGTTGTGAAGAAAAGTCATAATTTTATTGATAGTTTTTATCAGATGGTATTAAAAGGTCCATATATTTATTGTATAATAATATTAATGTTCAGTGTAAGTAGAAGTGAAAGTTAAGTGAAATGACTTATATTGTTAATGTCAGTAGTAATTTCTGACCACAGCAGTGTAGTTTCATTAAATTTTTTAAATTCTGGGACTTATAACTGTTAGGAAAGTATATGAAGTAAGGCTTCTCTCCTGGCTCAGTGGTGAAGAACCCACCTGCCAGTGCAGGAGACAGGGTTCAGTCACTGACAGGGAAAATCCCGCAAGCTCCAGAGCAGCTGGGCCTGTGCGCTGGCACGATGGAGCCTGTGCTCCAGAGCCTGGAAGCTGCAGCTGCCGAGCTGAGCACCGTAGTCTGGGCCCTGCAGGAAGAGAAGCCACTGCAGGGAGAAGCCTGTGGACCACGACGGCAGAGCGGCCCCCGCCTGCCGCAAGGAGGGAAGAGCACAAAAGCAGCAGAGACCCAGCACAACCAGAAATAAATAAATAGAGTTATATATAAAAAAGGAAAGGATGTGAAGTCCAGACTTTATTATCGTTTTAAGATTCTCTTTCAACATGTTCTATTTGTAATGTCTGGAAGGTTTAAAATAATTACCAGGTTAAGATATACTTAAAAAAATCAGAGCCCTTAATATATTCATAAAAAGTATAAAACTGAGCTTAATTTTCAACTGCAATTCTGATAAACTAGAGTCTTAAAAAAACTTTTAAAAAAAGAATCATTGTCCAATTCAAGAAAAATTTATTCGGAAAAGGGTTGAAGCTAAATCAGTTCTTTGTGTGCGTGCTCAGTCCTGTCTGATTCTTTGCCACCCTATGGACTGTAGCCCTCCAGGTTCCTTTGTGTACGGAATTTTCCAGGCAGGAATACTGGAGTGGGTTGCCATTTATTATTCCAGGGGATCTTCCTGACCCATTGATCAAACCTAGGTCTCTTGCATCTTCAGCGTTGGCAGGTGGATTCTTTTCCACTGACCTACCTGGGAAGCCCTAAATTAGTTCCCTGTGGTTATTTAAATAGGCAAGATAAATAATAGCATGTGATTTATTTCTTATAACAAAATAGCTTTTTGTCTCTCTACCAGAATCAAACCAAATGCTTTAAAACTAATGAATTTTCCTGTAAAGCATGATTGCTTTAAGTTTTAATTTGTAGTTTTGTAGTAAGTCTGTATCATTAAAAAGAAACATTTTTTAAGAACAGTTTTAGTATTTACAAAAAAATTAGTGATATTACAGAGGGTTACCATATACGTTGCACTTGGTTTCATTATTAACACCTAACAGTATTAGTATGGTACATTTGTTGCAATTAATGAACATAATTATTCATACATTATTAGTAACTGAATTCCATATTTCTCTTAGTTTTCCATTGTTTTTTAATCTAATTCTGTATCATTTTTACTCCCAGATTTTGTATTTTGCAGTTGAATATAGCTGGAAAGTAAACTAGTCTTTTGCCTTTGCATATTTCATAGATGTATTTTTATTTCTCAGTGAAATAAATTTTGTGTTTATTCGTAATTCCTTTTTAGCTTGCGAGGAAATATTTCAGTAAAAGCGGTTAAAAAAGAAGTAGAAAAGAAACTGCGATGTCTACTTGCTGATTTACCACTGCCCCCTGAGTTACCGGGAGGAGATGATCTCTCAAAGAGTCCAGAGGAAAAGAAAACAGCAACACAGTTACATAATAAAAGGAGGCCTAAGTATGTGCTTGCTTTCTACCTGCTCTTAAATTGACCAGAGATGATTCTGTATCATCAGAGAAAAAATCATAAAATACAAAATTAAGATTTTTAAAAAGTGTATTTATTTTTTCAGCTTAAGTATATGAATAAATTTTATTGGAGCTTTGGAAATTTTTTTCATAATTGCCTGAGTACTTACTCAAAGTGACTAATAAAACCACAATTTTTTTCTCAGTTTGTAATGTATTGATTTCTTGGGATATTATATGTGTTGAAGAAAACTTCGATAATTAACATATTTAAATGACAGAAATATTGAAATTGGGCACGGTGGAAGTCAGTATTCAGTGAGCCCAGACAAAATTAGAAATGGGCGAGCTGCTATGTTTTCCTTTCCTTTTAGCTCCATTTGCTCCCATAACTAACGCATTCTTCATTTTGCAAGAGGTGGAGTGGAAGAAGGTTTGAAATCTGTATCCTAAATTAGCTTCAAGTAAGTGCCTAGAGATAACTCTTTCCCTTGAAACCTGTTCATCAGTTAAGAAGAGAATGACGATTCCTTTTTTTTTTTTTAAACTTAACCAAAGAAAAGTGTGAGGAAGCCTTTGAGTTAGATCTGATTTTAGAATTGCTGTTTCAGGTAGTGTCTAGTATAAGAATATGAAGTGATTTTCTAGTATAGAGTAGAAAGCTAGAAAACTTTTAAAATAGTCTCTCCTTGAGTATTGTAGCTTAATTACTTAAATTCTATTACCTGCCAGAATATTAAAATACTATAGAGTTACATATCTTCTTGATGAGTGTCAAATATTTGTTGTATATATAATGCACACTTTTTAAAAAGTGTGGATTCCTAAGGGATGATTATATTAATATTTCTATATTCTCTTGACTGAAAGTCTTTCTGGTGCTTCTGTTTTTAAGATAGTTTTATTGAGCCATAAGTCTAAACTTGTTAATATGCTTTGTAGTTAGATCTTTGGTAATTTTCATATTTTTAAACTTTTGACTTTTGAAAGCAAATACGTATAGATTTGTTGTCAGTGAATGAAAAAGAAAACACTCTGGTGGCTGGTTAGAGGGCTTTGACTCTTTGGACTGGTGTTGCTTTGGTCCACTCACTGAAGAGTTACGCTGTGTTTCTGAAAGTCCTTCATAAACACTTCACTCCTCTTTCTTATTCTGTTAGTCTACAGAAGGAAAGTCAGTATGCAGAAATAATAACTTGACTTTCATGATGATTTGTAGTACCAACTCACAGTATTACTTGTTTTAGATGATCACCAATATACAAGGGTGAGGGGAAAGAAAAGATTTAAGATTGGGTGGAGGGTGGATGCTGAGTATTAAATAGTTTATTCAGTTTGCTTGATTGTATATAAAAACTTCAGAACTATATTTGATAGAATATGTGGGCCTCGCTATGGTGAAATCAAAGAGAAAGATATTGACTGGGGAAAACGCTGCGTGGATAAATTTGATATCATCGGAATTATTGGAGAAGGTACCTATGGACAAGTTTACAAGGCCAGGGATAAAGACACTGGTAAGAATGCCAAGTATTTTGAATCTTTGGGTCTATGGAATGTATTTAACTCATGTTTCTCTTCTAATGTATAACTTGAGGAAGTTTCCGGAAAAAGTTAAACTTGAATTTATCATGCTCTTGTTTCATCTTATTTTTGGTCTCATTTTATATATAGTCTAACGTTAAGATGTGAGTTCAGGTAACAAGGTATATACATATATATGTTAAAAAAATTTTTTTTTAAGTATTTCTGTTGTGTAATATGGGGGGATTTAGATTTTTTTGGTCAGTAAAATTTTATGTTGTTGGTAATCAAGGTGCAAAGTACCTTGACCTTAATTAGTAAATTTTGTTCTGTTAAGACTTACGTGACACCTATATTTTGCTGCCCTCCCCCAAGTTTTTTTTCTGTAGAAGTTATCCTTTATTTGGAGGCCAGATTTAGCAGTGTAGTCTTTCAGATTATAATGAGTCACCTGAGAGAAAGTTTTAAAAAGCCTTGGAGTAGAGGAAAAAGTATGTCAGAGGTCATATATTTTACTAATAAATAGTGCTTAGAGCCAGTATTTAATTATTTATAGTTCCTTGTTGATATAAACCAATACATAAAATAACATAGATGTTTGAGGCCACTTAGTATAAGGGAGACTACCTTATGCATAGAAACTTTGAAGTCAATTATAGCTTGCAGCAATAAACTAATATTTATAAAGATGATTCTGCATTATCAAAAGAGATTGAATTTTAAAGCAAGGAATCATACTGTATTTTAGAGTTCTGTTAAGAAGAATCAACTAAGTTTTAATGATTAAAAGTAAAAATGTCCTTCCTTTGGAAAATTTGTAAGTACTGAATTCTTCTTTTTTCCTACAAAGAAGTGGAATGAACAAACTTATTGTAGTGGATTTTCTCTTAAAATAGGATTTCTGTGTGTGTGTTTCAGTACACACACCTGGCTTCTTTGGTAGCTCAGATAGTAAAGAATCCACTTGCTAGCGGGAGACCTGGGATTCAGTCCCTACTGGGGAGTCCCTCCCTGGCGAAAGAAATGGCTGCCCACTCTGGTATTCTTGCCTGGAGAATCCCATGGACAAAGGAGCCTGGCGGACTACAGTCTATGGGGTTGCAAAGAGTCGGACATGACTGAGTGACTAACACTTCAATACTTAGATTATCTGTTACAAAACCCAGTTGTATGTAAACTATGAAATCATTTAGTGTTGAGGGAAGAGCACATAGTTTGGAGAGAGCTAAACCAGATTTTGAATCCCAGTTTCACTACTAGATAACTCTGCATCTTTGGACAAGTTAATATGTATGAGCATATCTTCATATCTGTTTAATGTCCAGAGTTTTCGCATCTGTTTAGAGAGATTTTTATATGTGTATCAGCAAATTAGGTGTATATTTAGTGTTCCCTCTTCATTTAAAAAAAAATGCAGTGTAATGTATCAACCCTCATTATCTTGCTTTTTTCATTTAATGCATCTTATCATAAAATAACAATACATTTGGACCTACTGTATCCTTTTTAACAGTTATATAATATTCCATAGTTTGATAAATACCCCATAATTTATTTAACCAGAGACTTTTTGAACCATAAATTTATAATTTGGTATATTGGAAACCAGAATATATTTTGTGGGTTGTAATTTCAAGGGTAGGGACTGAAATTATGAATTAAAAATTTGGGGACTTCCCTGGTGGTCCAGTGGTTAAGACTCCAAGATTCCTCTTCAGGGGCATAGGTTCAATCCCTGGTTGGGGAACTAAGATTCCCATGAACTGCCTGGTGCAGCCAAAAAGAAAAAATAAAAGTTTAAAATATTATTTGGTTTTGTTAGTTGGTAACCTGATTTTATTTACTTTTCTAATAGGAGAAATGGTAGCCTTAAAAAAAGTACGCCTGGATAATGAAAAGGAAGGGTTTCCTATTACAGCAATTCGAGAAATTAAAATTCTCCGGCAGCTTACCCACCAGAGTATTATCAATATGAAGGAAATAGTGACTGATAAAGAAGATGCTTTGGACTTTAAGAAGGATAAAGGTATGTGTGCATATTTATATAATCAGCTTTGTATATTCATGATGTTGCTAATTTATATATTTTGGTATTGATTAAGTATTTATTAGGTACAGTAAAGCCATTGCCTTAATATCAAACTTATTAAATTTTTTTCTAAAAATTTATTTTATTGAATTATAGTTTATTTACAGTGTTGTAATAATTTGTGCTGTATAGCAAAGTGATTCAGTTTTATATTTATATACATTCTTTTCCATATTCTGATATGAATTTCATGGGATGATAAACAGAATATTGACTATAGTTCCTTGTGATATACAGTAGGACCTTGTTGCTTATCCATTATATTTATAATAGTTTGCATCTGATAATTCCAAATTCTCAATCTTTCTGTCCCCCATCTCCCCTCCTCCTCGGCAACCACAAGTCTATTTTCTGTGTCTGTGAGTCTGTTTTGTTTTGTAGGTAAGTTTACTGTGTCACATGTTAGATTCCACATGTAAATGATACCATATGGTATTTGTCTTTGTATGACTTCACTTAGTATGATCATCTCTGGGTCCGTCTGTGTTGCTATAAATGGTATTATTTCATTCTCTTCTGTGTCTGCATAGTATGTGTATATACCACATCTTCTTTTCTAGTCATCTGTCAGTGGACATTTGTGTTGTTTCCATGTCTTGGCTGTTGTAAATAGTGCTGCTGTAAACACTGGGGTGCACGTATCTTTCTGAATTAATAGTTTTGTCTGGATATATACCCAGGAATCAGATTGCTGGATCATAGGGTAACTCTGTTTTCCTTTTCTGAGGAACCTCCATACTATTTTCCATAGTGGCTATACCAGAATTCCCACCAACAGTGCAAGAGGGTTCCCTTTTCTCCATATCCTCTCTAGCAAGTGATTTGTAGACTTTTTAGTGGTGCTCATTTTGAACTGGTATGAGGTAGGTACCTCACGGTAGTTTTGATTTGCTCTTCTCTAGTAATCAGTGATGTTAAGCATCTTTTCAAGTGACTGTTGGCCACTTATATGTCATCTTTGGAGAAATGTCTATTTAGGTCTTCTGCCATTTTTTAGTTTGGTTGTCAAACTCTATTTTAAAAATAGCTGTGTTGAATTATTTTACATGTATTACCTTACTGGTTTTTGAGTCACCTAAGTAAACGTCAAAGCATACTTATTAATATTACACGTAAAGCATTCACTAGTAATGTTTGTTTTGGGGGGCTCAATATATAATTTTTAGTCTTTGTTTTTTAGTGATTGAGAAGCAGTTTATAGTAGTAGTGTTAGAATATATTTATCTTACATTTTTAATGTTATAATGCCTCAACTTACAAGTAAACTTTATGGCAGGAGTATATTTCTAAAAGTGTGGAGGCAAAAATTTTAACCTGAAATTGCTTTTTGATAAACTATAGTAGTATTTGGTTGACTTTTAGCAAAAAGAGCTGAAAAGACATTAGCGTGCTTTTTGAGGTAGTTAAAAAGTAGTTATTATAGGATATATGTTGGGTAAAAGAAATGCTCTACCTCCAGTAGGTTTTAGATCTTCAGAGTAAGATTTTGGAACCAAGGTTGGAGCCCTGATAATTGGTTTTCAAAGAGCAGAATTCGTTTTCAAACTAAATCTGATGTAAAATAGGTTAAAGTAGGTTTGATTGAGCATGATCAAAGGTTTGATTGAGATTGATCATTGAGCTCAATCATGATTGAGCATGATTCTTAGCCTTCTCCCATCCACAGCTATACACATCCACCATCTTATTCTTCTAGGGACCAAAGTATAAAAATGATTGATGTTATATATAGTAACCATTTCTTATGACGGAACCTATGTTTGAAAGTATTCTGTATTTCTTATGGAGATCGTGAGAATCATCTTTTTAATTGACATCACTTTCATTGGTTTTTTCCCCCATAATCAAGCTAATTTCTTAGCCTGACTTTCAACCCAGTTTGCCTTTTTCATGTTAGTTTTCATCATTTCTTACAGTGAAGTAGAAAGGAGACCTGTTTGACTTCGTTTGGAATGTCTGAGATTAGAGACTTAGCTTTTTAATAAGGTCTTTAGCCCTTCTGAGCCTGTTATTTCTTCACCCTTTAAAGGGAAATATTTCTCTTACTGTGTAGTGAGAATTAAGATTTTATGAATGAGGGTGTTGACAGATTCTGTTTTTTATTAATCTTGTACTATAGCCAAGTTAATGTAGTACTTTTCCTGTAACATATTCTGGACTTTCTATTTTTTCTGATCTGTGGATCGCATCCTTGTTTATTTTCCCAAACCCAGCCCAAGTCAGTTTTTCTGATTGCTCACCGAAGTCAAGTCACATTGCTTGTTTGGTCAGATAGGCCAGTGCACTTCTTTGGCCTGCAGCCTTTCTTTACACTGGAATATAGCTCTCCAACCCCAACACAAACACATTTGCTCACACTTGCGTGTGCATGCGTGTGCACCCATACACACACGGTTTGAAAGCTAGTTTCTCATTCTCTAGGTCTCTACCTGAGTGTTGTTTAGTGAGGCCTTACCTGACCTTATGATAGAAAGCAAAGGGTAGCTGAAGAGCCTCTTGATGAAAATGAAAGGGGAATGTGAACAAGCTGGCTTAAAACTCAACGTTCAGAAATATGAAGATCCTGACATCCAGTCCCATCACTTCATGGCAGATACTTGGGGAAACAGTGGAAGCAGTGACAGACTGTTTTCTTGGGCTCCAAAACCACTGCAGATGGTGACTGCAGCCATGAAATTAAAAGATGCTGGTTCCTTGGAAGAAAAGCTGTGACCAGCCTAGACAGCGTATTTAAAAGCAGAGATGTTATTTTGCAGTCAAAGCTATGGTTTTTCCAGTAGTCATGTATAGATGTTGAGAGTTGGACAATAAAGATAGCTGAGTGCCAAAGAATTGATGCTTTTAAATTGTGATGTTAAAGACTCTTGAGAGTCCTTTGGACTGCAGGGAGATGCAACCAGTCCATCCTAAAGAAAATCAGGCCTCATATTCTTTGGAAGGACTGATGTTGAAACTGAAGCTCCAGTGCTTTGGCCACCTGATGCAAAGAGCTGACTCATTAGGAGAGACCCTGATGCTGGGAAGGATTGAAGGTGGGAGGAGAAGGGGACGACAGAGGATAAGATGGTTCGATGGCATCACCGACTCAGTGGACATGAGTTTGAGCAGTCTCTAGGAGTTGGTGATGGACAGGGAAGCCTGGTGTGCTACAATCCATTGGGTTGCAAAATGTCGGGCACAGCTGAGCGACTGAACTATGTGGCTGGTCTTCCCATTTTCCACCACAGTGTTCTTAAGAAAACAACATTAAGTGGTTTCACTGTGGGTATATTTTTGTGCAGGATCACGTAGAGGCTGAAGCAGCTTTTTCTGAATTAACTGAGGGAATGCAGGAGAGACTTAACTAATTCTGAATTTTTTTCCTAATTCTTTTTTCATCTTTAAGCAATTCCATTTCTTTTTAATTATCTTTGAGGGAATCTTTGAACTTTTTGTCTTTTATAGTCTTTTTATTTTTAATGTGAGGTATAAGAAAACATTTCTTGTACCTCTAGGCCTTTAGTTTCTGTGGTGGGATGCAATTACTTGTTTTTATTTTAGTACTCTTGTGTGCATACTTCCCTGTTCATAAAGTCAACTAAGCTATGAATTATTTTGCAGCAGAAGCTTTGCTTTGTTATTTCCTTCTTTCAACTGAGGATTATGAATTTACAGAATATTTTCTGAATGAATTTAATAATGTTCAATTAAAATTTTTAATGCAGTTTATAATTCTCTGAGTAGAGGAAACTTTTTGTTTTACAGTTACATGAAGTATAAAATAAAGACGTCAGTTATTCTTCTCCATGTGTTGTGCTGGGTCATTCAGTTCTATCTGACTCTCTGAGACCCCATGGACTGTAGCCCGCCAGGCTACTCTGTCCATGGAGATTCTCTAGGCAAGAATACTGGATTGGGTTGCTATGCCTTCCTCCCAGGGATCTTCCCAACCCAGGGATCGACCTAGGTCTCCCACAATGTAGGCAGATTCTTTACCATCTGAGCCACCAAAGGGAAACCCAGGATTTGCTCTCCATATCAAAATGGAAACATTTATTATTCAGGTTAAAAACAAAGACTGAAATAATGGTATCAATATCGCAAAATAGTATTTTCGTATTTAAAATTAGCATAATATCCTGGATAACCAAACCAGTATTAAAATTACTTTGTGTAAATTGTTAGCTATATTACTTTTAATACTAGTATTTGTTTAATGAGAGAATTGAGTACTTTTTTATTTTGGAATTTTCCTAAAGATTGAGAAAGCAGTTTAGTAATGCTTATGGCAAAATGTCACCTGGAGTATGAAGTCAAGTGGGCCTTAGGAAGCATTACAATGAACAAAGCTGGTGGAGGTGGTGGAATTCCAGCTGAGCTATTTCAAATCCTAAAAGATGATACTGTCGAAGTGCCGCACTCAGTATGCCAGCGAACTTGAAAGATTCAGCAGTGGCCACAGGACTGAAAAGATGAGTTGTCGTTCCAGCGCCAAAGGAGGGTGATGCCAGAGAACATTCACACTGCCGGCTGTGCGGTTTCACTCATTTCACGTGTTAGTAAGGTAGCGCTCAGAATCCTTCAAGCTCGGCTTTAATCGTACGCGAACGGAGAACTTACATATTTACAAGCTAAGTTTAGGAAAGGCAGAGGAATCAGAGGTCAAATGGCCAATATCCTTTGGATCATAGGGAAAGCAAGAGAGTTCAGAGAAACGTCTCCTTCTACGTCATTGACTACACTGAAACCTTTGAATGTGTGGATCATAATCTCTATGGACAGAGGAGCCTGGTGGGCTACAGTCCATAGGATCACAAGGAGTCGGACATGACTGAAGTGACCAAGCACGCACACTGATATTTCATCAGGTTTGTGGTGAAAGAATTATTGATTATTGATTGATTTGGTCATTTTTTCCTTCCACAAACTGTACCAGCTCAAGGTTTGGGCTGACCAGT